TGCTTCCCTTCAGGAAATGGCTGCAGCATCAGGAGGCAGCGGGACGTGTAACTCCGCCTCTGAGAAGTGCAGCACCAGCAGGTAAAGAGCGGTGCCTTTTTACGCACCGCCTTCGCGGTTTACCTTCATCAGAACAGCGAGTGACTGCAGGTTGCTACGTGTTAACCACACACACATCGAACTGCCCGATTACTCCCCCTTTTATTCGTTTATTTATTTATGAAGGAGACATTCACCAAGGCGCATGATGTGTGTGTGCTCTGCTCAGCTCTGTGTTTGTGTCTGTCCGACACCGGCATTTGTTTTCAAATGACCATGAACAGTAATTTACACACATCTGGCTAACTCCATAGGTAGCTTAGTCTGCCGGCCCTTGGCACAATAAAGGTTGGACTACATTTAGCTGTTATCCAGACACTAACAGTGCAGTCAACCAACAGGATACTCAAACTCTGCTCTTGAAGGCGGATCATTTGGCATAAATAATAAATGCATGAGTCACAGAGATGATATTTAATTTGTGTGTGCAGTAACTTTTTGGTGGAATATGTGGAAAGCAGTAGTGCTGTAGCGACGCGTCGACTTCAAAATATCGTCGACGACATATTTCCGCGTCGACGCGTCGCTACACACACGTGGGTCACCCAGAGCAACAAGCAGTTCGCAATCGCACTTCAAACACAATGGAGACTGAAACGGCTACCACCTCCTCCTCACAGGATTGCGCACGAAGCCCCCAAACGAAAACATCTCGCCCTAGGTCTTCAAAAGCATGGGAATATTTTAAAGTTAGTCCAAAACGCAAAGATATTTATATATTTATATCTCACTGAGACTGCTGCATAGCCTAGCAGAAGCAGCAGCTAGCTGTGGTGGCTACCATTAGCAGCTAGCATTTGCTCTCCGATTTTTACATAAAATGGAATTATGGATTATAAATTCAATCATTTTTGTATACATAGACGTTAAAAACCTATGGATTAACCGATTCAGCCGCGTTTCTCATTTAAATGCCATTGAACACGTCTTTTGATCAGATTGACAGCTACGGCGGTGAGACGATCTCCCGAGAAGCTCTGTGAAGGTACGTGTTGTGATGACTGTATTTGCTTCACCTGTCGCGAGTCCGGATCACTCAGTGATGATACTATATACCTACATAATCTGTGGAGTCTCAGCTTTAATCGGATATATTGTATGTGCAGCTACGATAAGTAATAAGGGTACTTTTATCTTGAGTTCTGTGCCAATGTCCGTTAGCATTTTTCGCTCAGGGGTCATTTAGATGCTTCTTATGAGACTTGTGTTTTGTTTTGGTAAACATGGTTTGTATCGTCAGTTAGCTGAGATTATTTCCGTTAATCTGGTATAACACATTAATAGGTTCTTAAATATTAAGATCTCCTGAGACACTGTATCGTGAAAAAAAATGGTTTACATTACGTTTTTTTTACATTACGTTTTTTATGAATTGAACAACAGAAAAATAATCGTTAGATTAGTCGACTAATCGATCAAATAATCGCCCGATTAATCGTTTTCAAAATAATCGTTCCCCCCAGCACTAGAAAGCACACAGGGTTGATACAGCAGAATAAAGATAGGACAATATTGGCTTTTTATCGCAAATGATGATTAAAAAGACTCAATAGGTTGATTGTGACGAGTTTCCATGATGAGGTTTATGGAGAATCCTGTAATGAGTAGCGGTGGGTACCGCGCCCCGGTATTAAACGCCCCGGGGCGGAATTATTAAAGACCGTGGTACCGATAAGCTCCGACGTTAGCGGTCTTTTTATCGGTACTGGAGACATGTACAAAATATATGTCTTATGTATTATTGCTACACAAACATTAGATTGCAGTTTTAGTTTCGCCAACTCCGTTTCTAACACGCAAAAAGACTGCAAAATGTGTTTATGATTATTTTTAGTATTTTCGATCTTTCCAATCCAGACGAGAGATCTCTCTCTCTCCCGTCTGTGTGCGAGGGGGCGGGGCAGTTTACACACACGCAGCTGCTACATGCAGCAACACACACACACGGAGGAGATGGCGGAGAGAACGCGCTCCGAGGTGGTTAAACTTTACCCGTCTCGATGTGGAGAATGCTCGTTGCTAAAAGTGCAATAAGAGTTCAGCATGTGAGGGCGGTAACACGAGCAATGTGTCTAAACATTTATCAAAAGTGCTCCACATTCAGACCGGGTTCGACTGTCTTTCTAGCAGCTCTGTAGCCCCGTCCACGAGTAACGTTTCCACGTCAGGTGTTATGTATGCTAGCAGCAACACACGGAGTTAACTCAATGATTCAAACATGGGTTAATGATTATAGGTAACTGAGTTACTCTTTATTTAGTTAAAGTTTCAGCTATTCTGTTCACAGTTCTGTCATCACATTATTTAATACGATTTGTTAAAACATTGTTGTTTCTTTTGATGTGAAATATTATTTATTTAATTTAAATAAAAAGCTATGTTAGTTTTGTTCACAATTTGTTTAGTTTGTTTCTTTTTTTCTCTCCAGAAGAACCGATAAGAGTACCGTTAAAAGACCGGACCGATAAGCGGTATCGATAAAAGTAGCAGTACCGTTAAAACCTTAACGATACCCATCCCTAGTGATGAGTCATATATAGGGAACTAGCTTTCTATCATGTTATATTAGTGAAAGGTAGAGCCTGTCACTGCTTTCATATTTGACTCAGGCAGATGCAGGAAGTTAAAAGTGTGCTCACAGCAGCAAATAAATGATGTATTGAATGTGGAGCAATGTGGACTTGGCCCACATAATGCGGTCAGTACCAGGGTTCGTACTGATCCAACAAATCCAACTCAATGTCATCAACAATAATGAAGAATTAGATCCAATCACTATCTACACAAAAAAGGGGCCCGCACAAATGATTTCAACAGAGAATTGTATTCTTTTTGCCCCAAATCTCGGCACACAAAATAAATGTGTAATCTCGCACAGTAAGATAGACATGACTGCGCTTTAATGCGAGTCCATAGAAATGAAAATGAGTCGCACTCTTTGTAATCTCGGTGTGCATCTCTAAGGATAAATGAAGCTCCACTCTAGTGTTGATACATACAGCTCTGCATCATCTCAGTGAGCGTCTCTACGGCTGCCTTCTCGGCGCTCTCGAAGCCGCTCTCTGTCAGCAGGGCGCTGACCACGACCTGCAGGGTGCGGCGCCGCGCCAGGTGGTAGTTCTCTGCTGGGCTGGTGGCGGCTTTACCCCCACTCCCCCGCTGGAACACATGCAAGGAATAACACATCAAGTAGGTGAGAAGAAAGGTCCCCAAGAGGACACAGTATGAAAGAAGAACAACATAAGACTCTAAGGGTGGGAACAAAGCTCAGTTACAACAGTCCAATAATATGAGAGTATGACATTACAAGGGTTTTAATGGTCCAAGCTAATTTAGCTTAAGAAGTTTTCTACCCGGAAACGTTACGTTTCTTAAGATGTTCTGAGCTGCAGTGAAGAACAAGTACAAGTAGCCTTAAAGGGAAATACTTAAGTACAGAAATGCTTGAATGTGAACTTAAGTACAGTACATCAGTTTATGTACCTTTCGCAGTCTTTCCCATGACATTATTCTGGTTGATCAATAACGTCAATGTTAAAGAGAAACACAATTATAGATACTTTGCTAACTACTGAGTATATGATAATACTCAAGTAACATACAAGTATGTTAATTATTTTTAAACTACAACTTTAGTTTATGTACTTCTTGTTAGGTATTTTCCACCACTGCTTGTTGACAGGCTTGAATTATTGTTACAGGAGCACATGTAGCTACACATTAGCAGGTGTAACGCAGGGCAACACATACAGATAATTGTACCTACACTACAACCCTACTGTACACACCATATCAGTCACATTGTTAGCTGGTAAGTATAGTTATAAAGTCCGTAGCGTTAGAAACATGTCCACATGCCTTGTAAATGTAACACATAACGATACTTAGATGTTGCCATTACCATTCATTAGCTTTTACATGCACATTAGTAACATTAGTACGGTGATGTAGCTAACCTTGTCGTCTGTGATGAGGTACAGCAGGCTCATTGTGTATTTAGGAGAAGTTATTTTAAGTTATTGAGACACATTCAGCACAGACGAGTGTCTTCCATCTAACAGCTAACAGTTAGCAAAACACCTACAGCTCAGTTAGCTTCATAATGCTAATGACGGTGAGTATAAAAGCCGTCTCTTACCCCTCCTGCACTCAGTGCGGCCCCCGAGGCCACCGCAGGGTCCGCCATATCTTATTTGGTGTACTGTTTCTCGTTGGAGTTAAGTAATTTAATTATATCGTAACAAAACATTAATTTCTTCGACGGCAGTTTTAGCCGCGGTTAGTAAACAAGGATCTATTTCGTCGTTTCCGGTTTGCGGAAGTTGAAATGAACCCGATATGTATTTACTGCCGCCATCTAGTGGTTGTTTGTAGAATTACACACACTGTCAATCTGTCAGTGACTTGTGGACACTGGACAGTGATGACATGATGGTAGTTTTATTCAGTTACTGTACTAATGTTTACTCTATTCGTCTAATTGCGTGAGTTACACATTTGAGTTACTTTTTGGATCACATTTGCGTTGCTGAAGATCAATCAGCCAAATATTCTCAACGTAACAAACGTTTTCATTATGCAGAATGGGCCACTTTAGAAAAATAACACATCCGGATTATAAATATTGAACAACTAAACACATCATCCTCTATTATTTGATTTATATCTATGCTGACTGGAATACATTTTCTGCAGAATGTGTACTTTTACTTTTCATACTTCAAGAAGGCCTACGTTTCGATCACAATATTTACATCCTTTACATAAGTAAGGAACAAAATGTAAGTCTTTAACCTGTAATTGAGTATTTTTATGTACAATCTATTCTTTATTATACATCTATTTTATGTTCTTGCAACATGTACAAAGTAGCACTCTAAAATAAGACCTGATTGAGTTGCTAGCTGAAAAATAGCTTTATTCGAGTGTAAAACGAATTTAATCACTACATTTTTTCCCAACACATTCATCAAGTCACATCCACAAGTATCTGCTGCCCAGCAGCCAGACATTAGCCTGCAGTGTATATCATTTCTTTCATGTTTAACCAAATCTGAAATAAAAAAACGAGTACAAAGTGACAAGTTCAACGTGGTGATTTAATTTAGCACCATTACCATTAACATTTTAAGTGTTGTGTCCATTTACACCAGTAGAGGAGGGTTTCCTTAAGAACCAAGTAAGCGGATGGAGCTTCTCCTCCGGCCCATCACCAGGTGTTTGGCCTTGGCCTCCATCAGCTCCGTCTCGTACACGTCATCCTCTTCAGGGCTGACCGCGGTCATGTCTGGCTTCTTCTCCTTCTCCTTCTCCATGATGAGCTCTCCTGGAGCGTCCTCAACAGTTTCCTGCTCCCCAAACGGCAGGAGAACAGTTTCCACCAGTCCTCCCACGACTCCCAGCACCACCATAGTGGAGCCCAGCATGTAGAGCTTCAGCATGCTGAGGCTGGGCCTCTGGGTCAGCATCTCCTTAGCAAACGGGATGATCTCTCCAATGGTTTCCATAGTGTGATGCTTTGTAAGAGAAGGACAAAGAAAGAGAATCAAAAGACAGAAGTTTGTTAGAGAAAACTGTCAGAGAACTATCTTTGGGATACTTGATATGCGTATACTCACTTTGTCACACACTCCAAACTCTTTTTGGAGAAGAAAATGTGTTGTCTTAATGTTCGGCCAAGTCAGGAATTCACAGGC